GAAGGCAACATATGTACAAATTTTCCTGATGCAAGAGATGTATGGATTGTGACAAGAGCCCCCCCCTCCAAATTTAATTTATTTAAAAAAAAAAAGAATTGTATAAGCTCCTAATAAAATGATTTTTTTTAAAAAAAAAATTAAAAAAAAAAAAAAGGAAAAAAAAAAAAGTGAAGGCAACATATGTACAAATTCTCCTGATGCAAGAGATGTATGGATTGTGACAAGAGCCCCCCCTCCAAATTTACTTTATTTAAAAAAAAAAAAGAGTCAGCTGACAGTGCCTGCACGGATGGGCTCAAAGAGAAGAGCAAGTGTGAGGAGAGCGCAGCCCTGGGCAGCGTTTCGTTCAGAGGAGGGGGACCCACTGGATGGCACCTAGCAACAGTCACAGAAGGCAGAGCAGTGCGGTTTCTTTGGACATGGCTTAAAAACAAACAGACATTTTATAACTTTGCTGAACGAGCTTGAGGTAGTTGCATTTGTATACAAACAACATTTTTAACTCTCACTTTGGCTTTTCCAAATAAAAATGGATACAGCAGCCTGGGGGTTAGGAATAAAAAGGCCGTCCACCCCTGTGGAAGCACAGCCCAGACATAAAACGAATCAGGTCAACTACCCTTCTGACTGACAGCCGTTCTGGACCCTGGCACGGGACTTAGTTTAGGCTGCTCTCCGTGAAAAGAGTGTAAACATTTGCTGTAAAAAGAATGCTGATCTTAAATTTTGCAATCTGTATGTAAATTTGTAAATTTTATTACTCAATAGATTCATGAAAACAAATACATTTTTCACCGGGCTGAAAAAAAAATTTAAGAAAAATGGTGGTTTCAAACTGCGGACTTTGTGGTTAACAGCCTAATGCGAACACATCCAGGGTTCCTTTTGAACCAGCTAGGGACTCCAAAAACATTTGACTACGATTTTGATTCAAAGTGCGGAGACTCCCAGCCTCATCCCAATGTACTGGGTAGCAATCTGCCTTCGAACCAGAGCCCCAGGTGGTTTTGTGTGTATTCACCGATGCTCCAGAAGTAAGGCTGTAACACACTCCCTCTACAGGGCTGAGGAAACGCACGTATTTACAGAAGCAGACAGCCTCGTCATTCTCCTTTGGAGTAGCTGGTGGGTCTGAACCCACAGCTGGTGGAGTAGGTGGTGGATTTGCTAGCAATCTTGCAGTTAGCAGCCCAGGTAACCATAATGTCACCAAAGAGAACCCTGGTATTAAATTCCAGGGAAGAAATATGGCAATATGGACCAAAAACGTTAAAAATATTCATATTTTTGTGTCCGGGAATTTCATTCCTATGTATTTGTCTAAGGAAATAATCAGAGAAATGAATGAATTTATATAAAATGTAGGTCACTGAAATTTTTATTTTGATAGCAAAATTTGAAAGCAACTGAACTGTCTAATAGTGGGATATTATGAAGGTGGTGGAATGGTATGCGGTATAAGAATTAAAAGTTTATTTAATATTAAAAGCTATGAAAAATGTTCATGGTATGCTCAACACAAAAAAGCATGCCAGAGCTGCATGCATGCATAATTACTTTAAAACGACATTGTGTTCCTATGCATTTTAAAAGGTCAGGAAGAAATGTAATGTGTAATGCTATCTGTAAGGGCTAAGTCATTGATTTTAATTGTATTTTTTTAAAGTTTACTTTTCTACATGCTTCATAGCTTTTCAATTGTGAATATTAGAAATTGTGATAATAAAATACACAAAATTTTATTATCAGCTAAAAGTAATTTTGAGAGGGCTGTGTCAACTTATACTACCACAAGGAATGGGTATGTGATTCACCCCATGGCCTTGCAAATATTATTTTAACATTTTCTTTTGGATTACTGGTTTGAGAAAGTACAAAAATGACAACTCATTATTGTTTTAATTTTGAATTACTTAAAATAATGAGTTCTACATTTATTTTCAGAATCTGTTCTGCAACTGAATAATTTAAGCTACACTATTAAATAATGCAGCTCATATTCTAAAATAAAATGAATACTTGCAGAATTCAATTTTGGATTGTTTGGGGCCAAGGTTTATATATATGGTTCCTAAGTGTAACAGTGTTGTAATTATTAAATACCTTCTTAATGGTTTACTATAGGAAATGTAAAACTTACACAAAAGTAGAATAAAATTCCATTGAATCCCATATACTTATCAACGAGCTTCAGTAATTATCATTTCATACCAAATTTTGTTTCATTTTCTGCCCACTTGCTTCTCCCTTCTACTTTCCCTGAATTAGTGTGAAGTAAATCATATCATTTCATCTGTAACTATTTCAGTGCCTATAATGAAAAGATCAAAAACCCCAAATCAGACTCACTGCCATTGAATCAATCCCGGCTCATATTAATCTGTAGGAAAGGGGACAACTGCCTTCATGGATTTCTGAAGCTGTAAATCTTCCTGAGAGCAGAAAGCCTCAGTTTTCTCCCTCAGAGCAGTTGGTGGGGTTGAGTTTGCAGTTCGCAGTGCACTATGTTACCCACTATGCCACCGGACCAGCGCTCTCTTCCAAACATAGCTACAAAAATATCATCACAGCGAACCCCCCACTCCCAACCCCAAACAACTAAAAACAAAATTAGCCCTCTATTTCTCAATATCCATCAATTATTGTATTATTCTCTCAATTTTAAACCTTTCTTCTCAAGCTCTCTAGAAAATTCACTTCATTCTCTGTCTCATTCTCTCTCTCTCCTCACTCCAATTGTAAACAACAATCTAAGAAAGTCCCCTAAATGCACCTACTATGACATCACCTATGGCTAGTTGCCACCGAGTGGATTCCATGTGCTCCATGAGGACAGAGCACAACAGCTTCCCGGGGCTCTCATGACTGTCACCTATAGGAAGGGTGTCTTCTGAGGACCCTCTGGATGAGTTCAAACCTCTCACCTTTTGGGTCATGTGCAATCCGTGTGCAACACCCAGAGATTTCTGGGAGATACGTACTAGTACCTTAAATGGAATTCCGTCAGTTTGTTTATTGTGGCAGCTTGCATGTTGCTCTTCTGATGGAAGCCACCCCACTGGTTATGTTAAATACCTATAAGGTCACCCAAGAAGGCCGAGTGGCATAGTGGGGTATGCATTGAGCTGCTAACCACGAGGTCAACAGTTCAAGTCTGTTATGAGAAAGATATTTGCACCCTGGGAGACTCAAAGGGTTGGTTCTACTCTGTCCTAGAGGGTCACCATGAGTTGGAATCGACTCTACAGCAGTGAGGTTGGATTTTTTGGGGCGGTCACATTTTAACGGAGCTTCCAGCCTATGGCAGACTGGCAAGAAAGGTCTGATGATCTCCTTCTGACAATGAGCCAATGAAAACCCACA